TTCTGTTCTGGCGGTAGCAGAAATAACTCCTCTCCTCTGCAGCTAGCATGAAAACTCAGGTTGCTAGCTTCTTTGCCTGCTAGTATGTTGCTTTGTATTAGTATTACTAGTACAACTAAACAACTAATTACTAAGTTTTGTGGGTGTATTTGCAACGTTGTGCTAATATACTATTGGATGCACACCTTAGTGTGGGGGTTTGAGGGTGTCAGAGATGTGTCCAAGTGTTATAGCTACGCTTCCAAGAGTTCAGACTCTCACACTAGGCTAGTAGGATCACCAAAAATAGAATGGTCAAAGTGGAGACACATGACTAAGATATATCTACCATATTTAGGAGTAATAGTCACATTAGTAGAAGATAACAACTATAAGAGTGATGAGGCAGAGAAATTCCTGCAAAGCAGCTACTGGGCGGCAGCAGCAGTTGAAGGTGGCACTGGTGGGAGATATTTCACAGACAGCAGTATTGAAGCTCAGACTAGCTCTGGTTAGTACTATGCAGAAGGTTGCAATGGTAAACAATTTCTGGATCTTCTGACCTTGAAACCCCTATGATGAAACAATGCAAAATGAAGCAAGAGATGGTACCAGGAGGTAAGACTCCCAAATCAGAAAGCACTCAGTCAGCTACAGGGGAAGAACAAAGGACAGGTCAAATAGCAAGGTTGCTAATGACACAATTCAATCAAAGCCAAAAAGAAATCTAGGGACTGACATGCACAGAGGTGAAATGAAAGCCTAATGGTGCAACACAGATACAATCGGAACATGGAACATGAGAAGTATGACTCAAGATGAATTGGATACTGTAAAGCAAGAAATGGAATGGCAAAACACTTAAGTACTTGGTGTGAGGCAACTGAAGTGGACTGAAATGTGACATATTCAGTCAGACAAACACAAAGTATTTTATTCTGGATATGACAAATTCAGAAAAAATGGAATGATCTAATATTGCGGCAAGATGTAGCACAGGCAGCTATAAGAAGTTGTGGTGCAATGTCTGATCAACCTATAAACATATGATATTCCTATGTACCAACAACACATGCTGAGGAAGAAGAAATCAAAAACTCTCATGCAAGAGTCAAAGTAGAAATTCATAACACACCAAAACAAGAGATGCTGATAATGATAGGTGATGGGAACACAAAAGTTGAAAACAAAGCAAGATCCAGTATTGTGGGAGAATTTAGGCTAGGGGTCAGAAACAAAGCAGAACAACTCAGAATTCTGTGAAACCAACAATCTGTTTATCACAAATACCTATTTCAAGCAGCTCATCAGATGACTGGACACATACATATCACCAAATGACTGATAACAGAAATTAAACAGGCTACATAACTGAAATGGAATGCGCTCCCCAGAGAGGTCTGCCTGGAGCCGTCGTTATTTGTTTTTCAGCGCCAGGCCAAGACCTTTTTATATAAAGGATATTTTAATAATTGTTGACATTATTTATTGGTTTTAAATTATTCAGCCAGGATGTATTCAGATTGTATATGTATCTATTTGTATGAGTATTTATTTATGATGTTGGAAGCTGTCCCAAGGCTTAAGTGAATGGGAGGCATACAAAAATTCCCAATAAATAAAATAAATAATAAATAAACTGGATGCTGAAGATTATTAATTAGCATTCTTGCTGCCTAAACAAGACCAGGAGTAGACTGTTGTAGTGAACATGAACTATTAGTATCAAAAATCAGAGTAAAGATGAAAAAATCACTAACAGAGATGCAGTACCAACATACAACTTCAATAACTTCAAGTTAAAGTCTACATAAAAACTAGATTTTCCTAATGGAACTGAACTGGCCATGAATCAAAAGAACTGTGGACTGAACCCAGGACTATTATGAGGAGTAATGCAGAAAGATAATTCCTGTAGCAAAAAAGAAAAACACCTAAATGATAATGGAAAAAACACTGACAAATGCTAAGGGCAGGTGGGAAGCAAAAGATGTCAGAAATAGAGTCAGAATCCTGAATGCAACTTTTCAGTGACTATCAAATAGTGACAAAAAGAACCATTACAGTAGCCAGAGCAAGAAATAGAAGAGAACAGAAAAGGAAAACAAGAGACCTCTTCCGGAAGATCCAAGAAATCAAAGGGAGGTGGAAGGTGGAAGACTTGTACAGGAGGGATAAAAGAATAGTTCTTTGAAAGAGGAATCCTATGAGGATGAACCTGCAATATTAGAAAGTGAAGTGAAGCTGAATTTACTTCAGAAAGGTTTCCAAAACAGGCCCAAGCTCCAGTGGAAAAGAAAGAGAACCATCAATAATGATCAAGAGAAACCACCTTCTCTACAAGAAAAATCTATAATGTTTGAAGTGCTTTAGTTTAGGGAAAAACAATGCTCAGATACACATGTTCCATAAAATTATGAGCACTGTGGACAGAGGAATATTTTTCTTCTATCTATCTTTCACATTTGTAAGCTGCCCCATAGTCAGATACTCTTGGGGTGGCTCTCCCTCTCTTATGCTACTAGAGCATGGATTCACACAAAGAAGCTGACTGGTAGTAGGCTCAGGGTGGCCAAAAAGAAATGGTCCTTCACAATCATTATGTTCCTTATGGAACTCACTACCACAAAAGAAGTTACAGTTATGTTTCCTGGCTTAGTACCAAATTAATCCAACTTCATGTCTCCTAGTAATATATAGGCAACACAGATATGTGATGCAATGTCACTGCAGCAATGTGCCTCACATGGAGGGATCTTAGCAATGAGAATCGAAAGGGATTATACAGCTATTCCATCATTTCTTAACTGATTATCTAGAGAAAGAATGCAAGAAGTGGCAGGGAACGACACAAGAACTACAACTCAACAACATCTGGCCAAACACTCCTAACGCCTATAAAATCTCATGACTGAGGCAAAGTGAAGGTGACATACAATCCTTGTTCAGGAGCACCCTGTGTATTTCCCTGAGCCTACAAGTGCCAGCCAATGAAGCAGAATGATCAGGAGAAATCTGATATTGTGCCATGCATTTAACGGAACATTACAAGGAGATGCATGAAGGAGAGGCTGATGAGTGGTAGCAACACATTCATGATAATACGTATTTTGGGACACAGTGGGCTTTGTGGAAGGACTAGACACATTTGTGAAGCATGTGTCTATAGTGCCTATGAACAATATTGGCTAGATGGAACACCCCTTGCAGAGCATGGGCAGATAACTAGAACACCTGTTGTATCCAGTGTACCTTGAGGTACCAGATATTAGAATACAACTGGCATGATAAACACAGATGGGGAATACTGTACTAGGCATAAAAAACATGGGACAAAAGTGCTGTAAAGTGGGGTAAAGAGGGTGTTGTGCAAATATAGCTAGGAATGGGACAGTAGGGATATTTTTAGGGGCAGAATAGTGGGTGGCTTTATATTAAGATGGTCAAAACTGATGAAATTGAAAGTGTCTTAATATGAAGGCTGTATTATGTTGGAATAGCTGCTGCCCATCTCTGATTCATTAAAATATAAGGTATTCTGAAGACAGACTTTTATTTGATGACATAGGGCTAGGGCATGTAAGACAATGGAAAACACTGTCTACAGCAGGGGTCTCAAACTCAACTTACCTGGGGGCCGCTGGAAGTAGAGTCTGGGCCGCATCAAGTATTCCACCACCGCGGTGGTGGTGGGCCGCTCATCCCACGTCGCTCCCGGAGGCCAGCCCAGGCGCCGCCAACACTTTGAAGGCCGCAGCGCCCCTCCCCCGTGCCCTGCCCGTCCCGGCAATTGGCCCACGGGCCGCAAGTTTGAGACCCCTGGTCTACAGGGAAGGAAGTTTAGTAAATGTTGGCTTTTTCCCTTCTAGATGTAAATAAATGTATGAAGGGGCAAGAAAGGAGGGCGAGAAAAATAATATGGGCTTATCTGCAAAGTTAATTAGTTTCAGACCCAACTGCATCATCCTAGAATGCAAAAAAAAAACAGGCAAATACTATGTTGCTATGTTAGCTATAGCTTATGGTGAGGATTCTTGCTGCACAGATAATATTGTTGTCATGTGAAAATACTTATTTTGGCTTGCAAAATATGTATTACTTGTTTTGTGTTATCTCTCAGGAAGCATTTTGATTTGTGGATGGATTAGGTTTTAATTGTGTAAACAGTTCAGAGAGCCATGTAGCTGCTGTGATGATCTATAAAAGCATAAATAAATTAAATAAATAAATTAGGCCATGCAATAGTAAAAAAACTGAGATGGACAGGGATAGACAACTGGCAGCTTGAAAAGTTCAACCTGGCTGCTTGGAGGCTTCTTCTCAGCACACCAGACATCTCTGTGCTCAAGCCCTCCCCTTCTTATGCAACTCAGTTACTTTCTCCCATGTAATTTAAGACACAAATGTAGGATCATCAAACCCCTCTAAAGTTAATTCTCTTTGTGTATGTATGTAGATTCCTCTTACTTGCCTATGTCTGGAAAGAAATAGTTGAGCTATGGCAATGCTTCACTTCCCAATAGTGAAGATGGGTTTAAAGGGTCCTTTGCCTGGAAGAGCCAATGTGGTCAGGAAGATGGAGTGTTGAACTAGCTAGAGAAAAAGGTTCTCAGTTCCTGTTTATGTATGAAGCTCGCTAGATACCTGTCAGTCAATTCACTATCTCTCAGCACAACTTGAACAGGAATTGCTGTCAGGGAGGGGGAGGGAGGGAGGGAGAGAGAGGGGGGGGGGGAGGAGGAGTGGGGGAGAGAGAGAGAGAGAGAGTCCTGAAGAGGGAGAGAGAGAAAAAAAAA